TGTCAGGTCCTTGCTTCATTATCTTATGTGTTTTACTTTAAATGTGCTGGTTGATATGACCTATTTTTAATAAAATTAAGTCTATGGGCTAAAATCAGATATTTAAACAAATAGTTACATTTTATGAAATGAGAAAGAAGATATCAAACTATATATTACAGGGGCTTATTTAGAGAGAGTAAGATTTACCCAGGGATTAATTTTTAGGGCTCAGAAGTAAATTGTGGCTGAGTACAGTGGCGTATGCCTGTAATTCCAGCACTTTGGGAGGCCGGGGTAGGCAAATTGCTTGAGCCCTCAAGTTTGAGACCAGCCTGGGCAACATGAAAAAACCTTGTCCCTACAAAAAAAAATACAAAAATTAGCTGGTGTGGTGGCATGAGCCTGTAGTCTCAGCCACTCGGGAAGCTGAGGTAGGAGGATCACTTGAGCCTGGATGATCAAGGCTGCAGTGAGCTGAGATCACTCCACTGTACTCCAGCCTGGGCAACAGAGTGAGACCCCGTCTCCAAAAAAAGAAAAGAAAAGGAAAAGTAAATTGTATCCTGACTTACAATAGTAAGGACAGGCTAAGAGCTGGACAGAAGAAAACTTCTTTCCTTTAGAGATAAAACAGTATGGTTAGCTAGGACAGTAATGGAAAAGCTTTAGAATGTAGTTGGTAAAATTTGTGAGAATCAATAAAATATTCAAAATGGAATTAAATTTGCCACTGTCTTGATTATCACTATATTGATTTTGTCAGTTTATGTCTTCATTGAAGTATATATACATCTAAGGCTCTACCTTGTCAGAAACTTCAACTAACTCATGGCCAAATGAAATCATTGTATAATACATAGAAACATTCAGAAGGAAGTGAGTCATCTTGCTGTCACATAGACTATACCGGTCATATGACATGAAGCTATGATCGAAGTGCCACTTGGGAACACAGGCTTGAATTTGATGCATTTGATTTTCATCTCTCCACATTTTTTTTGTACTAGTCTGGAAAGAAGAATTAATGAGAAGCAGTGGTAGTGCTTGAATTTTGATGAATCAAAAGAGAAGGAGAAACAAGAGCCCAGAAAAATCCACAAACTGTATGCCCCATTATGACTCTCAAAGAATGTTTTAGAAACAGGAAAATGGGAGTTAAAAACAGTCAATGGAGATGGGCTGTCAAGAACCTTTGTCATTTGGCAGATACTTCTGGAGAACAGAGATACATCTTTTGCTGCCCGATAAGCTCTCTGTTGTCTGCTTCTTGACGGATTACTACTACCCTTGTGCATTTCTAGGGGGAGGGCATTATGGGGAGGTTATAGTAATTTGGGTCAGATATAGTAGATTAGGCTGAAAAGTAGAAATGGCCAAATGGAAAAACATTTCAATTACTTAGAGTCCATATATTGGCAGTGAAAAATTCAATATCAGTAACATTTTGGTCTGTGGTATCTAATATGTGTTTATGTTTTCTCTGCAGGCTACTGGGCAACCCTATGAGCAATACGCAAAGATGATTTTCATGGAGCTCAATGATGCCTGGTCTGAATTTGAAAACCAAGGCCAAAAGCCCTTATATTAATTCAGGAGCTTTTCCATCCCTGCTGCAGACCTGTGCTAATGCTTAGTGTGTGTCACAATTCTGAGGTTTTCGCAGATGAACCAAAAACTCCAGTAACGTGTTTTCAGTACTAAACCGTTAAGTTACTCATGAATTAATTTCTCATCGATAAGGGATATGGATGTTTGGTTTCTCAAAGTTCCCACCATAAAAGATCCAAAGCATGAGAGGAACTTCTAGTCAGATGACCTTGCAGAACCACTGCATTCCTCCCTGCCCTGTGGGGAGCCCACTCAGCATTCTACCTGGGGAAATGGAAAACAGAGGCCACCACCCATGAAGGCATAACACCCATCACATTGTCGGAGAATAGGATTAATGAGCAACAGTTATGATAATAGAGTTATATGATTGTTTAATGGTTCCTAGATTTTTCTTGGAAAGATATAATTTGAGCAGTGGCTTTATGCAGACTCAAAGAACAAGACCAAGTATTTTTTTTTTTTAAGTAAAAATTTACTAAGGGCTTTAGCATAATACTGTAAATGTCTTTTGGTCAAGAGGACTAACAAATATAAAGGAACTTGAATTGTGGGGAGTGAAAATAGTCCAGTGATTAAACTACAGTCCAGTGATTACCACCAACTTTCTGACTAAGCTAAAAATGAATGAAAATGCTGGCTAAAGAAAAGAGGGACTCTGAAGATGCCGACATCTTTATTCCTGGTTAGGAAGGTGGGCTGTTACCCTCTTTCCCTTTAGAAAACTGTGATTAATTAAATAAAATGTCTTACTACTATAACAACTCTAAACCTGGTTTAAATGAAACATCTAGTTTTGCTGTAAGGCTTAATGCTCTTCTTTTGTTTAGCCAAGAAAACATGCTTAGCTGGAAACAGGTGGTAAAGTAGTTTGGCCTGTTCACAATTTATCAGGGCCAATATCTAGTATGGACTCAGTGTTCTCTAGGTTTGTGAGCGGTTGTGGTACGAGAATAGAAGGCAACACTGAATAGGAGTTATGAGAATGGCACGATCACAGTGAGAGAGCTGCACTCACCTGCAGACCCAGTCAGATGGCTTGTCAGTATCTGCTCTGAGGAACCAGGTCCCACCTCCCCACAAGGCAAATCTAGACCCATTGGATTATTACAGTGGACTTTATTGTTTTAAAAGTAGTTGGGGGTCCACAGGAACAACATTCATACAGGGACATTTGTGAAAGCAAAGCAAGAATGAAAGCTTTCCAGATCTTAGACTGGCTGGATTAGATCAGTGTGTTGGCTGGTTCTCATTTTAAGGGGTAAGCAGTTTGCTGTTCTGTGACTTTAGTAGATCTCTTTTGTGTGCACATATACAATGTGCATTATACATACATATATATATGCGCAAAGCAGATGGGCAAAAAGATTTTCATGCTAATCTTCAAAGGTTCATGCTCAATGTTGTGAAAAGCTTTTAAAAGTTGTTTTGAAAAGACAATCATTTTTTGTTTTTGTTTTAATTTTCTCGTGGCAAGCTATACCGGAAAAGCGGCATGTCAAAAATATTTTAGGTTCTGCATAGATCTCTTTCTCTTTCTCTCTTTTTTTTTTGTTTGTTTGTTTGTTAAAGTTCATTATTTATTTTACCTTTTACTGACAATGTGAAACTCAAAGAAAATGTTCTCTTTTTAAATATACAGTCATAAACTGTTCAAGGTAACCATAACAAACTAGATGTTATTTATTAACGTATTATAAAATAATGTTTGATCCAGTATGTGCTTGTCTTATTTAAAATCGGAATGTGAGACATGTTGCTGTGACCTGTTTTTTTTTCCTCATTCACATTTGTAGATATTGTGTGAACTACAGTATATAATAACAATTAAAAGGATATTCTGTGGATGTCACATATTTTGAAATGATAGAACTACATTAGCTTTGTATCATGTTTGGATAATTCATCAATGTTCACAGTTTAAAACATCATTAAACATTATGTAATTAGCAATGAGAAAGAATCTTACTTAACTTAAATTTGGGGATTTCCCCCCACATCTCTTTTCCGGATACATTATAATTCTGGAACCCTATTTATCTCAAAACTCTTAATATATGCAGACCAACAGGTTTTTGCATTCCTTTTAAATAGCTGGTTGTGACAAAGCTTGTTGTTGATCAGATTCACTGTTTCATCATATTTATTGTAATATATTTTTTGTTTTGTAAATATGTTACAACAAAATGTGATTGGTCTAAAATATTTGTAATGTATATTAAAAGGTTCAAAAATATTTGTGGAAATCCAAGTTATTTGGGTACTTGTAGGAATACAGTGACGAGCTTGAATGTCACCTTCTGACATGATTTACTTTTAAGGAAAGTTATGAGGAGAGAATACGAAAAGCATGCACCAAAATGTCATCTGACAGGATTTCTGGATTTATACTTAATCCCTCCTGCCCCAGCACACACACACACACACACACACACACACGCACGCATGCACACATGATTTTGATTATGCTACATCATATATGTTTCAAAAAGAAGTAGCATAGAAATCCTGGTCTCCTAGCCACAAAATTAAAGGATTTTCAAAAAAATTAATCTGTATGTTGAGGCAAAAGGATTGAACCTGGAAGTCTGGGACTTTATCATAGAAACAAAGTCTCAGATATTTTAGTTCTTTGGAAACAAATGCTGTCATTCAAAAGCATTTGACCCATCACTGTACTGTCTACGTGAGGAAGAATGTTCAAGTTGAATCCTAATGCTGTGAATGAAACATAATCTGTGTAGGGAATGAGCACAAAAGTTGAATTCCCATTGCTTTTTGGCCTTTTGGCTAAAATAAATGTAGCATCTAATTTTATCAGTTTAACATCTGATATGTCTTCTATCCATGAACAATATTTTAAATGGATTTTTTGGAGCAGGGAGATGGAATAGGAGTTTCTCCCACCCATTCCACACATCAGCCTGGTAATGCAGTAACTGCAGGAATGCAGTAAATGCAGTAACCTCCGCCTCACTAAAACAACAACAACAACAAAAGAAAAAAGTTGAATTCCAGAAATAGCTATTGCAGCAACAAGTCAGTCTCTCTGCTGGAAACACCTATCAGGGAAGCTAGTTCAAGTAGCAGATTTTGATTATTCTAAAGATAAATCATGGTTTTTGGGAATAGTGATACATGTTGGTTTGAGATTTAAAGACTGGGTTTAAATCCCAGTTTTTCCATTTATAGACTTTTTTTTTCTTTTTTTCTTTTTTTTTTACACAAGAGAGTCTTGCTGTGTCACCTAGGCTGAAATGCAGTGGGTCTGTCGTAGCTCTCTGCAGCCTCTAACTCCTGAGCTCAAGTGATCCTCTTGCCTCAGCCCTCTTGAGTAGCTAGGCAGGTGAGAGCCACCATGCCTGTTTTTTTTTGGTTGGTTTGTTTGTTTTTCAGATGAGGTCTTGCTGTGTCACCCAGGATGGTCTTGAACTCCTGGCCTCAAGTGATCCTCCAGCCTCAGCCTCCCACAGTGCTGGGATTACAGGCATGAGCCACTGTGCTGAACCTTACAGACTCTTACATTGGACACGTTTCTTGAACTCTCTGAGTCTTAATTTTATCACCTGTAAAACAGAATTCTAACAACCCTGCAATGGAGGAATTAAGAACTGTGTATATAAACTCTGAACAAGTGGGTACTCACTAAATAGTAATTATTGTCATTGTTACTGATAGTAAATAAGACAAAGTATATCACTGTAGGTGGGTATTGGAGCTGGAATTACATGGAAACGTCATATTCCAGGGAGTGGATAGAAACAAGTAGGAAAAGGCAGCCCAAAGTTACTTTTACCCTGGTCCTTATTCCTTATCTCCTTGGGTTTACAGAGATCTGTCTACATAAAATGGCAAAAAGGTTTGCATTGTAGTTTCTGTAAAGGGAACAGCTATGTAAAAAAAAGTAGTGATTGAGCATTAGGAAGGAAAACCAACATTTACGGATTTCAATTAGTGTTGCATCATTCTTGCATTTAACTTATGCACTGACTTGCAAGCCTGCCCCAGTGTAGATGTAACATCCTGGCATTTATCTTGTGTGCACTGCCTTAGGTGTTGTTATATATATATATATGTTTTATATTTTTTTTTCTCATTTAATTCCCCTAAAGATTCTGAGAGACAGGGTTTTGTAAATCCTACCTTAGGAAGCTAAAGCATGGAGAAATTTACCCAGAGCTGAAGCTTGAGGCTACAATTTTTTTTTTTTTTCCTGAGGATAGGGAGAGATGATACTGTGTATGGTAAACTTATTAATATTTGTTAATTCAGTCAACATTTTGTGTATACTGTATGCAAGATGCTAATAGATATGTTGGAGAAAATTAAGTCAGAGAATGGATTTGATGCCCTGTGAAGCACAGGAGGTTACTGTTACTTCTAATTACTACAAGAATTCTTGCTTCTTGGTGCATAAGATCTACTGTGGGGAACAGTACAAGTGCTGACCATCTGACTTTAGAGTTGAACAGTTTGGGACTTGATCTCAGCTTCCCTATTCACTGGTTACTGGGAGCTTGTTTTCCTATCTGTAAGATGGAGACAATAAAACCTAGGTCATCATGTGAGATTATTGAATGCAAGGAGAGAATATTAAAATTCATCCCAGTAAGTCCACTGTAGTCCTAGGCAACATGACAGAGGTTACAGATCTTATACATCCAAGTAACATATCAATGGCAAGTTGGGGATAAGGATTTGGTTTTTAGGGTTTTACTTTCTGTTTTTGGTGACTCTTTTATTCTTGAGAAAATGTGGAAGGAGTAAGTGGAAGAACAGTTTTTTCAGTTCAACATCAGGCAAAAGAAAAGCAGATTTTTTTCAGATGGTTAAAGCCTATGGCAAAATAGCTAACTTTCTCTTTAAGGTGTTTGGTGACCTGAAAAGGACAGCTGGCATGGGCAGAAAACTTGTTCAAGACAAACACTGTCCCAGCAATTTTAAAATTCCAGACATTACCCTGGGGCAAGCATCTCAACCTTTTTCTTTCATACCAGCTTCCAGGATCTTACTCCTGAGCCTAGGGTGCTCAAACCAAACCCTGCCTCTGATGTGTTGTCAGTTTTCTCTAAAATCACTTACCTTCTGTGGGACTGGAGTCAGGCTGACATGGAAGGCTCCCGCAAACCCTATTGAGGCTCTCTGGAGACAGAGTGGGTGATTGGAAATGGAAGAGGGAATGAGGGAAATTTAACCCCATAGAATATCTTCCCCATGAGAGTAGCTTAGCACTACACGAAGAGAGCTAAAAACCACAGACTTCCAGGGCTTGTCTGATACACAGGTTCCCTTGAGTGCTCTAACAGGTATTAGAAATAATATGATAGGGAACCAAGCTCTTGTAGAGGAGGGAGAATCTTTCCCTCTACCTATCTTAGGTTCTTCAGCTGGGTCTTTGTGCATTAGACCGGCCAAAGACAGACGAATGAACAAAAGTAAAGCAAGTTTATCAACAGGTGCATTGTTCATGTAGGTAAAATGGGAATACTCAGAGATGAGCAAGTCAAAGGTTTGGTTAGAACTTGGGCTTATATAGCATCCTAGCCAAGGAACAATAAATTTTTAAAGAAATGACAAGATAAAGGACCTTGAGTCTCTAGGGGCAGCAAATTGTGGGAAGACAAATATATGTGAGACTAGTTGCAGATACAGGCTAAATACTAAAGTTAATCATGTAGATTTTTCTTGTGTTGTCTCCAGGCTGACAGGGGTCTACAATTGTCTCTGGTGATTAATCTTTGTCCTTCCTGGAAGAGCAGGCAGGAGGTACACTTTTGTAAACTTATATCCTGCTTTTTGGCAAATGGAGGGAGGGCAGAGTGCTTTTCTAGTACCTTGTACCTATTTGCTTCTTCCTAATTGCCTTCAGCTCAAAATAATCCTTAAACCAAAGTGGCATACACTGCCCATGCTCTTGAGTAGATTGAAGGCTCCAAAGTAAAAAGTGCCATGTAGTACGGGATCTCCAAGCATCTGCAGTGAGTCAGGTATTACAATGCTGTTTTCAGTGAGTGTGCCATCCGTCTATGAGGAGAAATGAGAGGAGCTAGAAAAATAAACTGACAGCTAGAAAAATACTCCACTGAATCAACAAATAGACATTTCTTGAAACAATAACATGCTCAATGTGCAATTTTGAAAAAGTAAACTGAGCAAGGATCCTGAAACGTGATCGTGGTGAGAATTTATACTTCTCAGGTAGCCAGGGGAAGCTAAGTTTCTACAGTTTCCTTTGTCTTTCAGTCCTTTTGAAAATAGAAAAAGCAAGAGAAGAGGGACCGCACCATCAGGTAGAGTGGATCTCAGCTAGAATGAGGGGAAGTGGCCCAGAATCCAACCTCCTCCAAAGAGCTGTGTGACAGGCAAGTCCTACCCTTTCTGCACCTCTTTCCTTAAATGTAAGATGAAGCATTTGGACCAGACTGTTTCAATGATCTTCTAGATTGCTCTTGCCAAAACAGAACTCTCCACTCCTGTGAGATAAGTACACAATGGCTCTCAGAGATCTAAAAACTGCAAACTTTGAGGCCCCAAGGCACAAAAACAATAGCCTTTTTTTTTTTTTTTTTTAAGGTTCATGAAAGCTTCCGACACAAAAGCTTATATGGTCTTCGTCTCTACAAATAAATCAGGGAGTAAAGAAAAACCCCGCTGGTTTCAGTAAAGCGTTGCTATGAAGCAAAGCAAACCTATGCAAATATCAAGTTCTTAACGAGGTGTGTTTCCTAAGGGGCCTGTCCTCTGGTACCCCGCCCCTCCCCTTCCACAGTCATGTGAAGGCAGACAGGCACACACTCGCACACAAGCACGCACTTGGGAGCTCAGGGAACATAACACTGGTTAGTGAGTCGGTGTCCCTCTCCCATCGACTGCAACTTTTCCTCTCCTCTCTCCTCCCTCTCTCCACTTGTCTACATCTCCGTTCTCAGGAAGGTTCAGGGAGGATCCCCCGCTGCGTGCACTGCGTTCTGAGCGGCCCTGGAGAGACTCTGGGCCCGAGGTCCGGGCGGAGCCAAGGTCCCAGCCCACAAAAGGAACGGGCTTGAGGATTACCCAGAGGGCTCAGGATCTAGGAGTAGGGTCCAGGGCACTGGGTTGGGGTTACTCTGGGGAAGCTTTGTGGGGCCAGGTGGGGTCTTAGGGCTGGAGCTGGACTCTGCGAGCTGGGGGCAGAGTTCTAGACTGGCAGGAACGGAGTTCTGAGTGGCGGGGGCGGGGTCGGGACCAACAAGGGGAGGCCTCTGAGAGTTGGGGGCGGAATTCTGGGCCAGTGAGGGATACGGCGGGACCAGCAGGGGCGGCCTCCGCGAGCTAGGGGAGGAGCTCTGCACTATCAGGGGCGGGGCTCTGAGTAGCGGTAGCGGGGTCTGGAGCAGCAGGCGCTGCCTCTGCGAGCTAGGGGAGGAGCTCTGTACCGTCAGGGGAGGGGCTCTGAGTAGCGAGGCGGGGTCTGAACTAGCAGGCGCGGCCTCTGCGAGCTGGGGGCGGGGTTCTGCACCGGCGGGGGCGGGGCTCTGAGTGGTCGGGGAGGGGTCTGGACCAGCAGGCGCGGCGTTTGCGAGCTACGGTCGGGGTTCTGCACCGGCGGGGGCGGGGCTCTGCGTTGCCGGGGCGGGCTCGGGATCCGCGGGGCGACTCCCGGTCTGGCTTGGGCAGGCTGCCCGGGCCGTGGCAGGAAGCCGGAAGCAGCCGCGGCCCCAGCTCGGGAGACATGGCGGGCGTTAAAGGTACATCGCGGTCCCCGGCCCGCTCGTCGTGTGGTGGGGTTGCCACCTCCGTTCCAGTCAAGCCTGGGGCTGCGCCTTCCGCGCGCCTCTGGGGAACGGCCTCACCACCCTTCCCGCCTCTCCGGGTGGGGAGGCGATCGCCCGCTCCCTTCGTCCCTTGGGGTGCGGGTGGAGCGGCGTTTCGGGGGAGCCTCGGCCCTTTTTACGAGGCCGCTGGCCTTCCTGCTCTCCAGTGGCGGCACCAGACCCCTCCCCAGGCGGAGCCCTCGGCGAGAGCGGCGCCCTCCACCCCTCTCGAGTTTTTAAACCGGGTTTCCACTTCTTGACGTGTCCACCCTAACGCCTTTCCTCCGGTTTTCTACCCCTCCGCAGTTTCCTATTTGCTACAAAGGACGCTTTGTCTCCAGCGTTCTTAGCATTGGGAAACTTAATCCTCTTTTTCCTAATGATTTTTCCAACTGGGCAGAGTTGACTGCGGGCGGGTGTCAATGGAAAGCACCCAGAAAGACGGTGTTTCTCGCAGTCGTGGAGAGTAGATTACGTGTAATTTTAATACTGCTTTCTTCGATGTTTTCTCTGTTCGTCTATGCATAGAGAAGAAAGTAGTGTTTGTGTAGTATGTGTTTTTTGCCTGGGGCAGTTGATAAAAACACCGTGTACCTTATCTGTATGGCGTTAGAGCAATGTGAGACGGAAAAGGTTTTTTGCAAGGCTTCCTGTATTTTGGTAGGAAACCATTCCATTTCTAATCTGTCGAATAGAGTAGCATGACTTGTTTTTATGTTGGCGCTTGTATCATTCTTGAAATTTGCACCCAAAGATATCCCCAGTTAATATCTGCTATAAACATGTGTATACACGAGTACGCCTCTGTTCACTATGAATTTATCCGAGTGTGTGAGATGTTAGCGGTAGACATATTTTATCATTATTTCTGACTGACTTTTATACTCAATATCAGTTTAGTAAACATGGTTTACTTGGAGAGTGTCGACTGTGTGTTATACATCCTTTTGAAGCCAATGCCGAAAACATGAAAAGTAGTGTCTCAGTACAACACATGATCAGAAACTGCCAAATCATGATCATGTTCCATGTGTGAATGTGTTAGAAAATTGTAATGTGGTGGAAAAAAGGAAGTCCGAAATGGAAAAGGACTAAGGGAAGGAAGCATTTTACAGATTCTTCAACTTTTATTGAGGAACTACTGTATGCCAGAGACTTAGGATACAAAGATAAATGAGAAGTTATTGGGGGATGACAGAGCTGGAAATAATTATATTACTATGTGAGTGTTTATGGTGTGCTCAGATGCGGTGGGAGAACAGAGATGGTAGGTTGAATTTTTGTCCTCCAAAAAGATATATTCAGGCTCTAATTCCCTAGTACCTGTGAATGTGATCGTATTTGGAGTAGTGTCTTTGCAGATATAAGCAAGTTAAAATTATACTGGTTTAAGGTGGACCCTAATCCAATGACTGATGTCCTTATAAGAAGAGGGGAATTTAGACATGGAGACATACAGGGAGAATACCATGTGAAAATGGAGACAGAAATTGGAGTGATGCAGCTACAAAGCCAGGAGCACCAAAGATTGTTGGCAACCGTGTGGGCAACCACTGAGTATTAGGAAGAGGCAAGGAAGAGTGCTTCCCTGCAGCCTTCAGAGGGAGTGTGGTGTCGCTGCTGACACCTTGGTTTCAGAAGTCCAGCCTCCAGAACTGTCAGAAGATAAATTTCTGTTGTTCTCAGCCATCCAGTTTGTGGTACTTTGTAACCGCAGCCCTAGCAAACTGATCCGGGTGGGATTAATTTCCCGTGCTCCACAGAGAGGACTGTTTTCACAGAAGAGACAATGCTTGAACTGAATCTGAAGGGATCAATATGGCTTCATTTGGCAAGGCATGGAGTGAAGGTGGAGTATATCCCAAGGGGGGAGGACAGCACGTGACATGGTGCAGGGCGCATGAAATAACACGCCTTCTTTTCTTCAGGTACTTAGGCTTCATTAGTAAGACGGGAACTTAGTGGTGAGGGTTGAAGCTGGACAGGCGTTAGGAATGAGTCAGGCCATGGGGAGCCTCCATGCTAGAACAACTGGTAGGCTGTGGAAGCAATTGCAAAGGGATGGCAGCAGTGATATATATAGTTGAAAGATCACTGTCTTCTGTGTAGAGGATGGACTGGAAGAGTCACAGAGGCAGGAATGAGAGGATAAGGGCCTGCACCAGGGCTGTAGCAGAGAGTTTAAGAAGTCTGGGAGATTGAGTCACCTTGACTTACTGATTCGTTGGAAGGTGGAATGCAATTATGGTGTCAGCCCTCTAAGATAGGACCTTTAAAGGGTGGGGATAGTGGTTTGGTTTTACACGTTACACATGTTGAATTTGAGGTTTTTGTTGACTGTCAAGGCAGAGGAGTTCAGATTGGAGGTGGAAGTACAGGCCTAGTTCTATAGGACCTACTCTGGGCTGGAGCATCAGTGGTGGCCGGGCCCTTGTGGTACTGGGAGCTTTGGGTTGAACGTAAGTTTTCAGCTGGAGTGTGTGGAGTGAAAAGAGAGATGGGGTTGGATTTTTGGTCAACTCCAACTTTAAGAGATGCAGAGGATGTGATTCCTGAAAAAAGAGGAAAAAAAAAAAAAGACCAAAAAGAATCAAACAGAAAGATGGTTGTGAACCTTGAGAAACTGATATCAGAACAGAAGGAAGAGGTCTGCAGTTCCTAGCTTTGACAGGCCTCATGGAGGAGGGGTTACTGCAGATGGTCAGGCACAGAGGAGGGGAGCAAAGCCCGCCAGGAAAAGATCATCTGTAATGAAATAATATGTGGTATTTGCCTTCCATCCGCACATGGGCATTTTCCATTAAAGAGTGGAAATGTAAAAAGATATGTTAAAATTGACAGTTTTTCTTTGTCCCCTAACATCTGTATACTTTCAGATGTTTTTTTAAAAAGCACTTTGGCACCTTCCTATTAAAGAGTCTCTCTAAATCTTCTCTCAAGTAAAAGGAAGCAATCAAAAATGTTCATTAGCTTAATTAATTAAATTCTAATTATGAGTATTATGGACTTTTTTCAGAAGAAAATTTGGATAAGATAGTCTCCTATGCTTTTGATTTCTACTTTTATCAAAGAACATTGCTAAAATGAGTAGATACTTAAGTCAGTCAGCATTTATTTGACTACCTCCTTTTGCCAAGCACTTTACATAGATTATCTCATTTAATTCCCATAAGCTCAATAAGGTGGCACCATTATTTCCATTTTACAGGTGAGAAATCAGATTCAGAGGTTTAGCTTCTACCCAAGGTCCTAAGACCAGATGGTGGCAGAGTTAAGATTTGACTCATATTTGTGACTCAGAGCTCAAAACTTTTTAACAACCTTGATACTCTGTTTCTCAGCAGCACAACAAGGGCAAATACGTTCCTACTCCCACAGAGACTAGTGTCCAGTAGATACAGGGAATAAATATTTTATTCAGTGGACACTAGTTGGGAATTGTTTCCTACAAAGACATGAAAACAATCTTCAAATACTTGAAGTACCGTGGTTTGAGGAGGCAAAATGATCAAAGGTATATATTACAGGGAGGCAGTTCTGGATATAATTTAAAGAAGGAGGGCTTTCAACATTTAGAGACTGTTGGAATTAAATTAAACCTGTCTTGAGTGATAGTGAGTTTTCCTTCACTGGAGTTGTGTGGACCGACTGACTGCCCTCTGGTGACAAATATAGAGGGAATTCATACATTGGATAGGGGTTAGGTATTGGAATTACTTGAGACCTTTGTATACCTTATGATTTTAAGGTGGCAGACATGGGTCATTGTCTTAATCAGTTTGGGCTACTGTAAGAAATATATTGTAGACTGGGTGGCTTAAACAACCAACATTTAGTTTCCACAGTTCTGAAGACTGGGAAGTCCAAAATTTTGGTGCAGTCAGATCTGGCATCTGGTGAGAGCCTTCTTCCTGGTTTGCAGGCCTGCTTTCTGCTCTCACATTGGAGAACAGAGGGAGAGAAAGAGAAGAGAATGTGCTCTACTTTCTCTCTTCTTATAAGGACACTCATCCCATCGTGGAGACCCTACACTCATGACCTCATCTGAAGCCAGTTATCTCCCAAAGACCCACCTCCTAATGGCGTCTCACGGTGAGAGGGGTGGAGCCAGGAAGGTTTCAACATACGAATTTGAAAGGGACACACACAATGCAGTCTGTAACAGGGGTCAAATGTAACCTCAGTGAAATGAGTAAATTGCTACTTTTGCTCAAATTTGGGACCTTTTTTCTTTCTTTTTTTTGTAAACATTTTTATTGATAAATGACTCACATACCATAAAATTAACATTTTTAAACTGTAAGATTTCATGGTTTTTAGTATATTCAGAAGGTTGTGCAGTCATCACTACTATCTAATTCCAGAAAATTTTATCATCTCCCAAAGAAACTCTGGACCTATTTACAAGTCACTCCCCGTTTCCCCAAACCCTCTAGCCCCAACAACCTCTACTGTGGGAACTTTAACTCTTGGCTTTATTTTTCACAGCTCTTGTGGCATTATCCTTCAGTGGGGCTATTGGGCTGACTTTTCTTATGCTGGGATGTGCCTTAGAGGATTATGGGTAAGTTATCATTTCAAAAAGAACCATTCCTCTTTCTGTGTCTTTGTCACTATTAGTATGGGTGTTAGAGAGTTTGGTCAATTTAGCACCAAGTTCTAACCAATGAGTTAGTGGAGCCCAGATTATGAACACCTTCCCTTTGTGGGTCAGGTGTACTTTTACAGAAAAAAAAAGGGCTCTGTTAAAAATTGATGTATTCATTCTGTAAGCATTTGTTTAACACCTACTCTGGGCTAGCTAGGGACACACAAATGAAGAGACACAGTCCTCTCCTCAAAGAGGTACAGTTCTAGTTGGGAATGAGAGACAGGCAAACAGTCTAGTCAGTAAGATGGCAGCTGCAGTGGAGATGCCGGCCAAGTATGCTGGAGCTCAGGTAAAGTGCTCCTGAGTTTCAATGGGACACTCAGGGAAGGCTGCATGGCAGAGGTTGTATCTGAGCCAAGACTTGGTGGATAAATAAGAGTTTCTCAGGCTGATGAGTCAGGGGAGAACATTCCAGGCAGAGGGAACATTCTACACATTTTTTTATTCAACCATTGTTGGTTGAATGCTTCCCATGTGCCAGCTACTGTGATGGGAACTAGGGATTAAGACATAAGAAAACAAAGGTCCTGCTCTGTCAGAGTTTGTGTTTCAGCTGGGGAGACGGACAGTAAACAACAAAAGTGTGCATACTGCCAGAGGTAGAAGTGGTACAAAAGATGAAGAGCATAGAAGCTGGGAAGACAGTGGTCAGGAAGGGCCTCTCAGAGGAGGTAAAAAGTGAGAAGAATTGTCAAGAAAATCAGGAAGCAGGTCATACAGATCTCTAGGGAAAAAGTACTTTAAGCACCAGGAAAGCTGTATGCTAAGGCCCAGAGACATGAAAGCATATATAGCCTTTTCAGGAAACTGCACATGGTACATTATGGTACAGCATAAATTGTAGTTAGAGTGGCAAAAGAAGGGTTAGTCAAGAGTGCAAAAGTCAGCACTTAGGGCTCTACATGCCTGTCATGTAGAGGAGGTTCCATTTTATACATCAAACAATAGGAGCTGGGAAAATATCTTGAGAATGGGTTTGGAGGAGGGGGTTATGTTAAAATGTCATTCTGGCCATAACATGAGACCAGACAGGAAAGAGCTGAGACTGCAGTCAGAGAGAATAGTAAGGGACTACTGTCATAAATCAAGCAAAATTGAGGGCTGGGGTAGTAGGAATGGAAAGAAAAGGAGAGTGAGTTAGGAAACCAAATCAACCAACAGGTTTTGTTAATTGATGTCAAGATTCAACAAGGAGAGAGAGTTCTTAGATGTCTCCCAGGTGATTGGCTTGAACAACCAGATAGAAGATGATGTGATTAGGCTGGGCACCGTGGCTCACACCTGTAATCCCAGCACTTTGGGAGGCTGAGGCGGGTGGATCATGAGGTCAAGAGATCGAGACCATCCTAGGCAACATGGTGAAACCCCGTCTCTACTAAAAATACAAAAAATTAGGTGGGCGTGGGTCACGCCTATAATCCCAGCTACTTAGGAGGCCGAGGCAGGAGAATCACTTGAACCCAGGAGGCGGAGGTTGTAGTGAGCTGAGATCGTGCCACTGCACTCTAGCCTGACGACAGAGCAAGACTGTCTCCAAAAAATAAAAAAATAAAAAATAAAGAAGATGAAGATGATGATGTGGTTAAGTGAGACCAACTGAAGTGAGTTGTTATGACAGTGATGAATTTAAATCCATCACCACAGTCCTGGCCAACTATTATGGAAATTGTTTAAACCCAAGAGGGATCCAAATATAAGCAGTCACTT